GGCCCCCGTCCCCGCGGCGCAAGGGGAGGAAGAGGAGCAGGAGCCGGTCCCCTCCATCCCGTGGGGCCAGGCAACGCCACAACACTGATTCGGACTGAGAGGAAGCTTGGGGGTTGTTTTCCAGGGAGACCTCACAGAGACTGTCCGTATTAAATTAAAGAAGCCGCAGCTCTGCTGTGCCGGGGCTGAGCCTGGCAAAGGGCGGTGTGCGGTGAGATGAAAGCTGCCCCTGAGGAGCAGGAGCCGGTCCCCTCCATCCCGTGGGGCCAGGCAACGCCACAACACTGATTCGGACTGAGAGGAAGCTTGGGGGTTGTTTTCCAGGGAGACCTCACAGAGACTGTCCGTATTAAATTAAAGAAGCCGCAGCTCTGCTGTGCCGGGGCTGAGCCTGGCAAAGGGCGGTGTGCGGTGAGATGAAAGCTGCCCCTTCCCTGCCACAGACCCTGCCTTCAACCTGGGGCAGCTCACCCAGCCATGGCGAGGGGGGCCCGGGTGCCTTTCTCCTCGCTGCCTGGATCGGCCCATCCAGGCATGATGTGGCAGCAGAGTGGGTGCTGGCACTGGGATGGTCCTGGCTGTGGTGCTGGAAATGCTGCATATACTTTGTGTTTATGTAAAGAGACTTATTATTATGCAGTTGTTATTATTACTGTGTTTTTAACAACTTCTTTCAATACCAGCAAAGAGGTGAAGGAGGGTCTCTTTCCTTAAATCTTTCCTTAAGTTTACAGCTGTGAAATAAAAGCCAGGACTCACACTCTTGCGAGGGTTTTGCATCTTGGACCCAATGGGTTTATGAGGGCCAGGCTGAGGGCCTCTCCATGGGGCTACTTCTGCACTCCATAGGTGTTCCCTACATAGCGATGGGTGCTTTTCATGTGGTATGAGTGCTCCCCATGGGATTACACATGCTCCATGGAGCAGCAATTCTCTACATGGGTTATGGGTGCTTTCCAAGGGTCATGGGTGATCTCCATAGGTTTCTATACGCTCCCCATGGTTCGTCACACACTCCATAGGGCACACGTACCCTGGCCACGCTACCCCAAGGTGACATTCACCCCTCAACCTGTCTCCAAAAAGCTTTTCATTTGGGCAGGCCCAAGCAGGAGCTGCCATCTCCCTGGTGGGACATGGAACAGAGGTGGTGCCATCACCCTGAAGCCCCTGTGGGGTAGCGTGAATCTCTGCAGGGATGTCCATGCCATGGAGTCCCTAGGCAGCATGTCCCTGTGTCCCCTGCACAGGGATGGAGTAGCCCATCCGTTGGGGACAAGTGCTTTGATGGCCCAAATTTGGGGAAAACTGGGAGCTTTGTGACTGAAGCAGCTGTTGGGTGAGTGTAATGGATGTTCCTTTTGGTTGTTCCGTAAGGCACAGGAGCAGCCAGTCCATGTGTGCTGAAAAACAAACCAGTGGGGAAGAGACCAGCCTGGCTGAACAGGGAGATACTGCTGGAACTTAGGAAAAAAAATTTATCACCGGTGGAAGAAGGGACTGTCACCCCATGAAAAGTACCAGGATGTTGTTAGGTTATGTAGAGAGAAAGTTAGAAAGGCAAAGGCACAGATGGAACTAGATCTGGCCACTGCCATAAGAGATAATAAAAAGTACTTTTACAAATGTATTAGCAATAAAAGGAGGGCCAAGGAGAACCTCCATCTTCTGCTGGATACCAGGGGAAACCTAGTGACTGAGGATGAGGAAAAGACTGAGGTACTTCATGCTGTCTTGGCCTCAGTCTTTAATAGTCACGCCAGACATTTTCAGGGTACTCAGTTACCTGAGTCGGATGGCAGAGATGGGGAGCTGATTGAAGTCCCCATAATCCAGGAATAAATGTTTAGTGATCTCCTCTTCCACCTAGATGTACACAAGTCTATGGGGCCGGATGGGTTACACGCGAGAGTGCTGAAGGAGCTGGCAGAGGAGCTTGCTAAGCCACTCTCCATCATCTATCAGCAGGTCTGGTCTAGTGGGCAGGTCCCAGGGGATTGGAAGTTGGCCACTGTCACGCATCTCTACACAAAGGGCAGGAAGGAAGACCCTGGGAACTGCCTTCAGGAACAGGCCTGTCAGCCTGAGCTCAGTGCAGGGGAAGGTCGTGGAGCAGGTGATCCTGAGTGAGATCATAAAGCACATGTGGGAAAACAAAGGGATCAGGCCCAGTCAGCAGGGCTTCATGAAGGGCAGGTCCTGCTTGACCAACCTTATCTCCTTCTTTGGTGAGGTGACCTGCTTGACTGATGAGGGAAAGGCTGTGGACATTGTCTGTTTGGACTGTAGTAAAGCATTTGACACTATCATCTCCCACAGTGTTCTCCTGGGGAAATTGGCTGCTCATGTCCTGGATAGGTGGGTTCTTTGCTGGGTTGGAAACTGGCTGGATGACCAAGCACAAAGAGTGGTGGCAAATGGTATCACATCTAGTTGGCGACCAGTCACTAGTGGTGTCCCTCAAGGCTTGCTGTTAGGGCCAGTGTTGTTTAATACTGGATGAGGGGATCGAGTGCACCCTCAGTAAATTTCCGGATGACCCCAAGTTGGGTGGGAGTGTTGATCTGCTGGAGGATAGGAAGTCTCTGCAGAGGGATCTGGGCAGGCTGTGTTGATGGGCTGTGGCCAATGGTATGAAGTTCAA